TACATCTCTCCAATACTCTGCCGTGCGAAGGAAAAACATCATATGAGCCATCAGGCGTTGCTAAATTTCCTTCGACAAATCACATATTTTCACGAAAATGTGTGGACATTTAATGAGGGTTTTTTCTCTGGTATAAAGGTAAACTTTACCCAAATCACAAAATTAGGCTTATTTACTCAGTTTTCAAACACATTTTGTGCATTAATTTTGAAAAAAGGAGAAAAAAATGGAACCACGACTATGAAGTTACAAGAAGTGACCAGTGCAGCAGGTGATAAACGCCTAAGATTGGTGACACCCTTCTTCACGCCGTCATTTTGTTTATCCTCAGCAACTCCGCAAGACTGAACAACTGTATTCTTCCTGTATGGATACTCTGGTTACAGTATGTTTCTTAGCCGATCAAAGTTAGTACTATCAAATAGACAGACATAAATATGACCTTGATAGATCTCATATAGTTTTTAATCTCTTTATTTGTGGCTAGACACAAAAGCGTTCTTGAAGTATTTTTCCGACTATAAAAATGTAGTTTTCAAAGAAAAATGTGTATTTTGGGCCTCTTTCTTAGTCTATTTATTGCTGTCTAAAAGAGAGTTACAAATTATTGAAATGACTACAGAAGTATCGGATCGTTAAGACGGCAGTAGATCATACTATCATCTTATATACGTACATGCATCTACAGCAATTTCTTCAATTTTCGTGAAAATAGTCTATGAAAATGGCTCAGGACATACATTTTTACACAGATTGCAAGTGATAGATATGACTCTATAATATAACATATTCTAATTTCTGTAAAAGAAGGCAAATAATTTTTTTTTAAAAAAAAGAAAAAGAAAAAAAAAGATATCACTCTAATAAGAAGCGGCAACCGAGCAGACGACCGCGGTCCACGATTTGCGTCACTTCATTCACTAAACCGCTAATCTTTCACGCTGGCTCCACCTCCGTTCCGTCTCCAAGCGATTGGAAAACGGCAAACTTTTTTCAGCTATTTTCGCCGACCGCGCCAACCTAACTTTCATCCGGCGCCGGTAACGCGGTAACGCCGGTTAACGCGACAAAGAGGAAACTCTTTGTCGCGTTTGTCACCGATGCCACCGCATGTGCAAAGACCAGCGAAGGCGCAGCTAGATCCGCATTGGACAATTTTCTCCGTAAACTCTCTTGCTTCCATCGTTGCAGTTGAATCCTTGCACACTCACTTGAGATTCACTCATCTATTGCTCGAATTTACGACCCCCCCCCTCCTCCGAGAAAAGCTCTTTCGCGTAATTTGCAATTCCCCCATCACCCATTCCGTGGCGCTAAGCGCCAAAAACGAAATTATAACTTTGAGTGCTGCGCTGGAAAAAAAATAAAAAACACATTGGATCTAGAGTTCAGACTCTTGAAAACATTGACAAGAAAAAATACTCTTGATTCAATCGGATTTTTGCTTGAATCAAAACGAAATCCGCTTAAATTAAGAGGCTTGGTTCTTGATTTAAGCTATATTCTGATTGAATCAAGAGTACTTTATCTTGTCGATGTTTTTAAGAGTCTGGACTCTAGATCCAATGTGTTTTTTTTCCAGTGTGGATTCGGAGTTTACGGCTTCGAAACTTCCCTGTGAAATAATGGTTTATTGGTAAACGCACTGTAGCACATCAGTGCAGATGCATATTCGTAGCTTTAGAAGATACGCTTTTATATGTCCTCTGTTAAGTCTGTCGTGCAGAAAAACTTTCGCGGTTGCCTTTAGAGGACACGCGTCCTCCATTCTTTTGAAGTCAAAGTAACATTTAGTTATGAGTTTTGCTGTATTATTTTGCAACCAAACATCGGATTGATTAGATAAAAAGACGTGACCGTTTATTTTATTGAAATATTTATGCACAGGTTGGAAGAGGAGCAGGTTTAAAAAAGGACCTAAGAGCGTGGCCGATGTAAGGTTTAATCACACATTTGTCAGACATTTCAGTAGTTGAGAATGATTGAAAGGACCGACGTTTAAGCATATAATTATGAGTAGACAATGTGATGTGCTCTGAGAAAAAGGACTTCGTTATTAAAAGCTGGGTTATGGTATGGCAGTTTGAAAAACGGCCTTTTACTCATCTTGAGGAATTAGCTCGATCTCGCTGTTGTCAGATTTGCACACAAACTCCGAAGCGTACAATTATGTACGAATCATGTATAAGATCAAAACGTAATTTTGTATTTTCAGGTCAAATTTTCAGTGTTTTGGATACAACGAGAGGACTGTAAAACAGATTATAGTAAGTTATCTGCGGTTGATTTTGAAACAAAGATATCTTACAAAATCTTCATCAGTCGTTCAAAGAATGTAATTTAAAGCTACAAGTACTTTTGTAAGTTAACATCTTTGGTGGGAAGGATTACTGATCTACATCTCATATGAGCTGACCATTGAGGCATTTTGCAGTTTAATGACCTTTGATTTCATTTGAAGATACCTCTACAATTCTCACGCACGATATGCATGCAAAACGTGGGGTTTCATTTTTCATTTGTTTTGTTTAATAAAAAAAAACTATTTGTGAAACATTCTTGCTAATTTCAGATCTCCAATAGGGTGTTTACGGTGCTTATCCAATCATTCCGCTGACATTTTGCAGATGAAACTATCCACTAGTTTGGATAAATTACTCTTGCACAAGGTGAATGAGACCTACGCCATTTAGACGATTTAGGTAACAAGTTTATAATGATAGAGAATCCTTTTCTTACGATTGAAAATCACATTTTCCCGGTAAATTCAATTCGGCGGTAATCCCGACCTCAATTGGTTCAGATAATAATATTACCTAAGTTAGCAACAATGGATTAGATGATGCCCGATGGTCGAGTCTTGACTGCTTGAGAAATTGACCGTAATTAATGATGACTTGCGTCCATTAGAGATCAAATGCGAGACTTGCAACTTTTAAACGGACTGGCATTCGGTCCTTCTCCTTCCCTCCCGTCGCTTATTCATAGCACCGATCATTCAAATTAGTCCTCGCTTAGAACTGAGGCATGATTCTAAGCTTGGAGAACAGGCTCACTGCGTTAGCCCCAAGAAAGCTAGCAATTTGGATCCGGAATCAGTCATGAGCTCACGCTAAACATTCTCAGTCCTCGGGACGGTTGGAAGGGTGGAGTTGATCACAGTGACGGACGAACGAAATTAAGCGGTTATAGGATTGATCTCGCGAAAAACACTTGCAGGCACAGAGAAAATTTTGGGCGAACGGCAGACGTTCAGATGGTATAGTCATAGGAACATCATCCTCCATCAATGTCTCTAAAGGCGCTACAAACGCAATATTCAAAAGTCTGTCCTCAGGGGGCGTTTATACATCATCGCGTAACTCAGAAATTTGGAATTTTGAACCCACCTCTTTATAACCCCCCACTCCCTCCCCCATTCTGATTACGGAGTTTCTGATTCTGAATTTGCTCAAGAAACTCCACCACACATTGTTGGCTCCTTCTGGGCCCTTTTTTTTTACGAAATTGATTGCAAATTTCCAAGAAATCGGTGCTTTCGGTATCTTTGCGAGCTGTCGTGTATTTACAGACCTTTTTTCTTCCTTTTCAGGCACCCAAAAGGTGCGTTCACTTATTACTCCCCCCTCCCTCCACCGTATTTTACGAAGGGCACTTCAGAGTAATTCCTATTCTTGGAGACTTTAACGCGGGGCAAGAAAAGTAAACCTTTCAAAAAATTGTGAGTTTTATTCTTGTGTCGTCGAAGAGACAACTGTTTTTCGCAAAATTCCTCTTAAATGATGTCTGTGTTTGTATTAATTAACTTAAAAAATAAAGAAAATAAAATTTGAAAAAAAATCCGGAGTGAGTGTAAGGACAGACCGCTAAGTTGTCCGACTGCGAAATTATTGGGATGAAGTTTCAATCTACGAATGGATCTACTTGAGTGAACTGAAATTCATTGGTGGGAATGATTTTCCATGCAGTTGGACGATTTGGAAACCTTTTTACTAACTTAATCTAAAAATTCCAGTCCTAAAAAAGGTTAATCTATATATCCATGTGTTGACTGCTTCGGAGACAAAAATTAAATTAATAGTTTTCGAAGATCTGATAAGCAGCATATAGTCATGATCTTTTTAAGTGCAACAGATTCGATTGTTCAAACACTTGAACACATGCTTGTATCATTTGTTCTTTCTCCTATCTAAATGTGCCAAGGTGACATTGCAATAGAGACTATTAGAGCGACTCCACCAACGCCAGCATTCATAGATGCTATTGAATGTCCACCTGCGGTTAAATGGTAATCAGGCCAGAGATAGGATATCAAAAGCACTAAAAAAACTGTTATAGCTACTTCTGAGGTACAAAGGTTTGTCGGTTTCATCGATTAGGAGTTGCAAATCCATCCAAACTACTCCAAAAAGAAAGCGAAAGTCTTATTCTACCATTTGAATCAAACAGACTGGTCGCTTCGACTTATATTGTTAAAAAAATGAAAATTGAAGCATACCATGCACCTTCGAGGATATATGTGTGTTTTGTATCTTAGTTTTTAAAGAGACGAAACGAAGGGATATACTGCTCGTTTTTAAAAATTCGCAGGTCTTTTTACATATTTTAGGTAAGTGATCGTGATCAGAACGGAATATTGGGGTCAACGGTAGACAGCATTATTCGTGTGGACAAGTAACTCGAGACTCAAAACCAATAAATATTAAGGATTGAGGAGTGTTTTCCTAAATCAATATAGAGGTGTAGTGGAATTATGTCGGTAAAACTTTCACAGTTGGTTTACCGTCAATTTTTACCCTCGATGGGGCCCCTCAATATGAAGATGATTAAAAACACTACAGACAAAAATGAAGTCGATCGAATATTTTTTACGCCAATGGCGTTCTTCAATGATTTGCCGGTTGAAGGTTTAATTAAAACCGTGGCAAAATTTTGGAGGAGAGTGAAATATGTTTCGGCGAGAGCTCTGAGAAATTAATATAATATAAGAGAGTCCTTACCTGAGGCGAGGCCTGCGCTAAAAAGCAGGTTGCTATGACGACCGATATGGTCGCCCAGTTTCGTATCACCATCACTTTGGATGCGCGCTGAAACAAAAAGTAATAAAAAGGTTTAAGTTCATTTGAAATTATAGTCATTAAAATGAAAAGTTCCTTTCATGAAATATTCACTTGATTCGTGCAAAATCAATGAACGATGTGTTACAGAACATTTTAGCAATTCTGCATTTACAATTCAACCGGTTCCAATTCTTGCAAGTCGTTGACACAGTTGTTATTCCATATTATTACAAATTACGAATTTTCATCTTGGGCGCGGTAGTCTGTCTTACCTTAAATCGGTTGTATTTCATAAATTAAAATGAGGAGAAAAAAACAAAAACAAATACTTTTGTCATTTATAGTGAGGATAGCTACTGATCACGACGAGCAAACGTTGAAACGTTCCGACAGCCTACCTAAAAAAAACTCTCGCGGGAAGATCACTATTTGGGTGCACCGATGTCCTATTCATCATTGAAAAAATAACCCCGATAAAAGTTTTACATCGATAGCAGGATCAGTGAAAGTCGGCTCCGAGTTTGAAGTTCAAACGAGCTAATATTAATGCAATGTCTACAAATCATTTCCGCGGCATTTAACGTCTAGAATCTGCAAGTCACCGATTTAGATGGACGACGCGTCGGCATGTGTGTAAAACAACTTACACAGGACCAGAACCGAGGGTCCCACGTCACACGACACGCCTTGAATGTTGACTCCGTCGCGACGAACCATTAAAACGAGAGTTTTATGATGCTGAGACCTAGTTCATGCAGGTCATTGCACTTGCATTGATCTTAAAATTTTGCTATGGTCATATTGAGTAAACAACTATGGGAAACGATGAAAGTGAGAGGCAGGGCTTTTGGTAAACACATGAAAAATAAAATTCTACTCAAAAGACGAATCTAGAGGAAACGTCGTTCCTCAGACGAGGCGCGACGTCCACCTGCCCTTATTCGATCTAAGAGTGGAAATTCAAAACCTGGTGAGTGCCGTCAGGTATTGTTGAGATGGTTAATTTTCTCTCTCTTAAGTATAACATGAATCCAGGAACCTGAGAACAACAACCTTTGTCATTGAAGTAAGACCGCAGTTGAGAGAAAATTTTCCAATGAAGAGTCCAGGAAGCAAAGGCACTTAGGTTGTTTTACCGCGAGAAACACCCTGCACAGTCGTAGCAACACTTCCGTGCTAAGAAAGAACGCCGTATGAGCATTCGAGAGTTGCCAAATTTCCTCCAATGAAATGTTTATTTTTGAGGAGACTTATGAATGTTTTATCTCGGAATTTTCAGATAATTCAGATCTAATTCCAAAGAAATTTCTCTTAAAAATCCAGCGGAAAATGTTCACGAGTTTTCCTGAAAATTCGTATTTAATCTAGGAAAATTCGGCAACTGACGAAGGTTCATACGGTGTTCCTCCTTAGCACGGCGGAACACCTGATGGCACTTGCCGGGTTTAGAATTTTCACTTTTCATTTATCGATGGCTCCCCTCTCTTCACTCATTCCGTTTTTTTCTCATCGAGACAAAGCCTTACGTGCGTTGATTGGAGAACAATCGTCACCATAGCGGCTAATTTTACGGGTTGCTTCGTTTGTTTGATGAGTCTGGCTTGTTGGGGCGCTGTCGACGGAAGAGGAGGCGGAGAGGAAGGAAGAAGGCGAGTGGCAGGTGCGCGACGGGAGCGGCGTCGAAAGCAAACGGGAGTACGGACGCCGCGCCGGGACGCAACGGCAACGGCAACGAACGGTCGGGTGCGTCACTAGGTCATAACCGTGCCCTTGTTAGTTACTCGATTTGTTGAGCGAGCCATGTGATCACCGATCAGATTTCGGCGGATATTTGAACAGTCGCCAGCGATTAGCTACTGCCGCTCTCCTCCGATCTTCTCAAGGTTCCCGTCGGTCCGCAGTTCATCACCCTCCAGACCATGCCGTCTGCCGTTATACGGATCGTATTTGATAGTGCACCGGAAGAAAAACAAAAAAAACACATTGGATCTAGAGTCCAGACTCTTAAAAACATCGACAAGAAAAAGTACTCTTGATTCAATCAGAATCTAGCTTAAATCAAGAGCCAAGCCTCTTAATTTAAGCGGATTTCCTTTTGATTCAAGCAAAAATCCGATTGAATCAAGAGTATTTTTTCGTGTCAATGTTTTCAAGAGTCTGGACTCTAGATCCAATGTGTTTTTTTTTTTTTTTTTTTCCAATGTGGTTTGATGTGTCGTTTGGTTCAAAACAATAGAACATAACTCAAACCAAAATTTTTCGGACATTCTGGATCTTCACAAACGGTATGGAAGTTTGTGACAGTTTTTCGTGATCCTTGATCAACTCGTTCCCACGTTCCTGTCCCTTATACCCTCTCTCATTCCGCTCGCCCCCTGTCGCAACTTCAATTTCCTGGTCCATTTCAATTTGAAATCTTTGCAATCGCTGAAAACGACCACGATCGCTTTCTGACACCACGAGAGCCTAAAATACAGAGCCAATCAGAAATCGCTTTCGCTCGTAATAACTTTCTTCATCGGGGGCTCTAATCGGGATTAACGGTTGGCAGCCCCACGAGCGTATTACCAACAGGAAATTAAGCTTTTGTCCCACTTGGCAAATGAGGGACCAGCAAGATGCTCAATACCTTGAAACCAGTCTTGCACCCAATTTTCCCGCCGTAACTTCGAGTAAAACCGTTTGCATCGTTCCGCTCCGCGGAGACCCTCAGTCTGGGCTTTTTTAATTAAAAATAAATCAATCACGGTATTAATCCAGTTTGGAGGATCTTGAAAAACGCGAACGAACAGATTAGCCGGCGTTCTAGTTAGTTACCAAACTAGTCCACGCAAACTCAGCTGGCTCGGAGGATACTAGTGGTCAGCGGCCACCCAAGCCCCCCCCCCCCCCCCCCCCNAGCATTTCCTTCCTCGCCTGGCTGATCTTCCTCTTCCGCCAAATGTAATTAAGAACCTGGCGTTGCGTCGGAGAATCTCATCTCGGCGGCGGTGATATCATTTCGGAGTGACCTGCTAAACGGCTGAGCCAGAAACAAGCTCGCCGATGAACTTGCAAGTTTTCGGTTCAGGTGTTCTGTCGATTTTGAGTCAGGTCGCTGGCTCCGATGACTCCATCGTTCTCATCCCGCGTAGAGCTTCCCGGCCCCTCGATTAGAAAGTGGACGGCCCGAGATTAGTCTCGGCATTTGACTAGAGCTAGTATAATATTTGATGGTTTTACATGATTTAAATGGTAATAAGCCTCCTTCCGTAGAGAGTTGCCCGCTAAAATTCAAGATCTATTGGCGAGTTTTGAGCTGCTTCCAGAGAAGACTTTGGCGATGATTCATTGAGGCCGATGTGGATTCTTACTTTCATTAGCGATAGTCAATTTTTTCTAGGTATCGAATTTTATTTTCTAACCGGTTTTTACTTCATTTTTTAAAGTGTTCATATTAAGGCCATTATACCACGCATTGACATTTAGAACGGTTGTCTCGACACTTTTCTACTGAAGAAAATCTATATGTAATTTCATAGCTTACAATCAGTAAGAAAGATCGATTTTATAAGTGTATTTACCTTGAAGAGGAATATGTATAAGATACACTGGAAAAAAAGTCGCTTGGATCTAGAGTCCAGACTCTTAAAAACATTGACAAGAAAAAATAATCTTAATTCCATCGGATTTTTGCTTGAATCAAAAGGAAATCCGCATAAATCAAGAGGCCTCGCTCTTCGATTCAAGGAAAAATCCGATTGAATCAATAGTATTTTTTCTTGTTAATGCCATTAAGAGTCTGGACTGTAGATCCAAGCGACTTTTTTCTAGTGAATCAATGAATCTTATGAGCATGACACAGAAATAAATAAAGAACAATGATTGAAATGTACGCGAGTCTAAATGACTGCACTGGAAAAAAAAAAAAACACATTGGATCTAGAGTCCAGACTCTTGAAAACATTGACAAGAAAAAATACTCTTGATTCAATCGGATTTTTGCTTGAATCAAAACGAAATCCGCTTAAATTAAGAGAATTGGTTCTTGATTTAAGCTAGATTCTGATTGTATCAAGAGTACTTTTTCTTGTCGATGTTTTTAAGAGTCTGGACTCTACATCAAATGTGTTTTTTTCCCAGTATGATATAGCATGACTTCTATGGCAAAAAGACCATATTCTAGAAAATCATCGCTTTCGGAAAAATTCCATAAAAATGAGAACATTAGTGTGTAAGTAAAGGCTAATGTATCTCTAATCCTTTCCAGTTTTAGACCATGCACACTAATCTACAGGCGGTTCCAAATTAGGAACCGGCACGACGGAGCTCTCATTCGCTGAGAAAATCCTATGTTATTCGTCTCTTTGAACGACTGCGAGTCGAGGAGCTGAAGACCTAGGAAAGTGAGGTAAAACAGAAGGCTCGATCTCCTTCCCATTTTAAAATTCAAAATACTGCCGCGGGGTTACTGGCACAAGCAGAGAGGATGAGAAAACAGAGCGGCGGATGTAAAACCGAGCATATCCTCCTACTTGATGAGCTTCAGATTATACGCATTTTTACGGAGCTTAGAGCTCATCAGGAAATGGACACGGTCGCTTTTAACATCGATTCAAATGGAGTTCCGACCGGAGGCTGAGGGAGTCCAGCTCCCCGCATCCCCCGACTCGCTACTCGCTCTGCAGATACCTCATGATTTTCCTCAGATCCAACTCCCGATACTTTTGTCTTCTCCACGACCATTCATCTCGATGCGCGGCTGCCGAACGGCACCTAAAATTAGCAAATTTTCAGTTTTATCAGCAAGTACGGAAGCTTATTTATCGAAAACTTGGCTGATGTACCGGTTGCGTTTGCAGCGCATACCTCCAGTTGCGCCATTCCTCATTATTGAATGATGGATCCTCAGGCTGCATAGATAAGTTGCATGAAGCGGAGGGGGGGGGAGGAGGCGCTGGGGTATTCAATTGAACAGCTCGGGTCTCCTTTTCATCAATACTCNTCCCTCCCTTCACTCCCGTCTGGTAGATTTTCCTTCGTTGTGC